TCTCTTTCTTCAGAGACAAGGTGATTATCCCACAGACATCTACACTGAAGATCAAACAATTCCAAGACATCTTTAAGGGGGTAGCCTCAGCTTAGGACATTGGCCTGTAAGAAGTGTAGTAAACAACGTAAGCTACTTAAGATCTACAACCTTTTGCTACAATAAAGATAACCTCATCCATGGGAAGGGCTATCCTGGAACCAGCGGACGCTATCTGGCTTACTCTGGCATCAGCCTCCTGCCCCACCCTGAACAAAAGGGCTGACAAAATATTTTGTCTCAGCATAAGATATGGACTACTTTTTCCCCATCCGTCTCCGAATTCACTGGTAGTTGATGCGGTCCACCATAGAGCGAAACTACCTCAATTCTGCTCTACATCACAAGATAAGGTCTACAGGTGACTCCTGATTTGCAACGCGATTGGTTCCACAGGCAGCGTAGCAAGTCGGGGGCGTCATAACTCGAACCCTCATTTACGATAGGCGCCATGGGCTGTCGTAAATATGGGCCGAAGATGTAAGTCAGGGGTTTTCAGCCCCTTCCACACTTACAGCCATTTTTGTAAGTGCAGGGGATTGTAACTTGGGTGGTCAGAAGTCGGGGGTTTCCTGTATAAACAGCCAGACCTTCTGGGATGTAAGGTCTACTCTTCAGCCACATTACAGCTCAGGGTGGCTAATTACTCAGCCCCCCCAGCTAATTATGACAACATCAACTATACTGAATTGCAGGACCTGTTGGAACATCTACCAGAAAATAAAAGACCACAACACCAGGCTATAATTGACAAGAGTCAGACCATAGCCCTTACTGCACTCAAGGCAGCAGTGAATGTTGTGGACATGGTAGCAAGTACAACAGCACAGCCATTGTCATGAGATGTGCTTCATGGTTGCAGGCCTCCAGAATCTCAAAAGAACTCCAGATTAAGGTGAAGGACCTCCCATTTGACAAATCCTATCTTTTTACAAAGAAAACAGATGTAGTCCTCCACACTATGAAGGTTTCAAGAGCCATGCTGAGAACACTCTGCTCAATAAACACAAGCATTATATGTGTACATACCACAGACCCTGTGATCCCCACACTCCACCACAACACAAACCATTCGAATACTGATCTAAACAACATGACCAATGTTGCAGCCCACAACAATCTCCACCAATGACTAACCAGCCATCTACTTTGAAGCAAGGCTTTTGAGGTTGTGGTCGAGGGCCTGAACATCCCTATTCCAGTGCAGGCACCAAATCCATCATCCTACTGTCTCCACCCTTTCTTCCTCTCTTGGGTGGACATCACGTCGGACTGGTGGGTTTTGGAAATTATCCAATCAGGATATCTAATTTAAGGATGTTAAATTTAGATTAATCAACTATTTGATTATTCGATAAGGGCACCTCTGCCTTTGAAATGTAACAAAAGTCATGCTGGCTCATGCTATATTTCAAGGAGCATGGGGCCAGGTATAAGAGCCCCGCTCTTGCTACATTTAAAAGGTGGAAGCGTTGCCAGATCCCCACTGTGCCCCTGCCTCCTCTTCTGCTCTCCTCCTCCCTCTTCCCCCCTTCCCCTGAGATGGTGCTGGGAGGAGAGTGGCTTTTAAGTTGCTCCCTCCCCCCCCAGCACTAGTTTCTGCTCCTCACTTGCTGCCTCTCTCTGAAAGGCAGCAAGGAGGGAGGGAAGCAACTAGCCTTTTATATCCCTAACTAAATTCCCTTTATTCAGCGACTTCCTACCCACTCCCATTCTTGTCCATCTTCAGAGACCCTTTCGAGAAGTGTCTTCTATGATTAGAGGTTCAGCACTTTCTTCAAGTTGGAGCAGTAAAACATGTAGCATCCCAGTGCCATGGCAAAGGGTTCTATTCTGACTATTTCTTCACCAAAAAGAAGACTGGGGATTGGAGACCTATACTAGACCTCAGAAACCTCAACAAGTTTGTCCAAAGTGGCAAATTCAGGATGGTCACCCTTTCCACAATCATCCCTGCACTGGACAGGGACGACTGGTTTGCAGCCCTTGACCTCCAAGAAGCCTATTTCCACATCACTATCCACCTGGCCCACAGATGGTTTCTCCGATTCACAGTTGGCAGCAATCATTACGAATATTGTCTTTTCCTTTAGCCTTTCCATAGCTCCCAGGGTTTTCTCAAAAACTCTAGCAGTAGTCGCAGTACATCTTTGATGTCATGGGGTGATAATTTTTCCATACCTTGATGATTAACTAATCAAAGGACCCATCCGCAAAGATACACAAATCATGTTGCAGGCGACGATATCGCACTTTCACACTCTGGGGTTCCAGATAAACTACCAAAAGTCCACTGTCATTTCCAACCAGATGCTTGAGTTCATAGGAGCTCATTTGGACACAATATCAGCAAGAGCCACACTACCATAACAGAGATTCGAGGCTCTGGGGACACTTACTATCACGGTCAAATTCAGTCTTTGCCAATATTAAGACTTGTTTATAAATTCTGGGTCATAGGGCCTCTGCCACATATCTGGTCAAATATGCCAGACTTCATAATGCACTGCCTTCAGGCATGGCTCACTACAGTATAGAGATCATCCCAAGACTTGAACAAAAGAGAGTCTCTCTGCCATTACAAGTTCTGCTATTTCTCGAGTGGTGGTTGGAGCCACGCAATGTTATCCATCCCAAGACTTGAACAAAAGAGAGAGTGTCTGCCATCACAAGTTCTGCTATCTCTCCAGTGGTGGTTGGAGCCACGCAATGTTATACAGAGTGTACCCTTTCACCCAAGATCCACTTTCTCAAGTATTCACTCTCTGTTAGGCTGGGGGCGCTCGTCTGGGACATCTAACAAAGGCAGATAGAACTCATCTGAAACACAGCACCACATCAATGTATTAGAACGCCTGCGAACACTTACTCCCCATAATCCAAAACCAAACAATCCGCATCTTTACTGACAGCAACGGTTGCATGTACTAAATTGTCAGGGAGGAGCACAATCCCACTCCCTATGCGTGGAGATGGTAAAGTTCTGGAATTGGTGTATTCACCACAACATAACATACCTACCTACCGGGCAACTAGAAGTAGATGGCCTCAGCCGCATCTTCTCCCACCAACACAAGTGGGAAAGTCACCTAGCAGTCATTCAAACAGTCTTCAAGTGGGGAAAGCCAGACATTGGCTTGTTTGCCATGCAAATTGCAAATATCACTGCTTGTGTCCCAAAGTAGGTATGGGAAAGGATCACTCAGAGATGGATTCCTGATGACGTGGTTGAGGCACTTCCTGTACGCCTTTCCACCTCTACCACTCATGAGCTGAGCAATCTACAAAATCAACCTTGCATTATCCTGATCGTCCTAATGTGGCCCAGGCAAACACGGTTCCCCTGCCTCCTTTGGCTTCCATTATTCAACCCTCAATCCCTTCCAAACAAGCCAGACCTACTAGTGCAGGATTGGGATTATCTGATGCATCCCAGCTCTAACAGTATTCACCTCAAAGCCTGGTTACACCATGGTGCCACCATACCCCTTCTGCTAACGAATAACAGGTTCTGGTTCTCAGTGATTGCTCATGTCTCAGCCATCGTTACTGTAAAAGTAAGTAACTTCGAGTGATGCCTCTGTGGGTCCTCCACATTAGGTGACTAAAGAGCAGTGCCCCAATGGATGTGTCCCCCTGTGGGTGTTATACTACCCATCCTCCTTTCTTCTACTTTGGAGTTAGTAATAAAGATGTCCCTGTGGGTGCTATACTACCCACCCTCCTCTCTTCTACTTTGGAGTTAGTAATAAAGATTCCACGGTAGAGAAGGAACGGAGAGGGGATTGCGCTGGGCATGCAGCTAACAAACGGCATGTGAGGCAGCTACTGAGCATGTGTAGTGCATCCAGATCCTGCTGAGAAAATTATCCGATCAGCCAGTTCAGGGACAAACCAACACCTAATGTGGCGCTCCCATGGGGGGTGGAGGACACCTCAAAGAACCATCATTACCATAAAGGTAAGTAACTTCTTTTTGCTGGTGCATAAGTTATCTTTTTGTTGAGGGATTTTTAGTCGGGAGGAGAACCAGCTGTTTGCATATAGAATTAACTACAAATATTTCCTTTTCCTTTTTCTAATTAAAGGTCTGAATAAACCTCAAAAACAGGCAATGAAACAAGTGCTACTTTCAAAGGATTACACACTTATCGTGGGTATGCCTGGAACAGGAAAAACTACTACAATATGTGCTCTAGTAAGACAATAGTGTGACCTAATATTGGAAGCTAATTGTTAATTTAGAGGTTGGGAGTTCAAGCATTAAATCAGCTGTATATGAAGCATGATCTTCATAATTGACATTTATATCGGACTGCTTTCTATGATGTTTAAATTAAAATAAATATGGAGCCAGCTTTACTGCAAATAGCATTAGCACCGGGAGAATGTTAAAATGTATTCTGTAGCTTCAAGTGGTATCTGTTTGGTTTTAGTTTAATCCCCTCCAGCACTCCCTTCCAGGAGGTGGGTGGTGAGAGGTTGATGATTGTACAGTGTTTAATGCTGCTAAAATCCTTTGGCACAATAAAATCTTCCAGTTTTGAAGCAGATCTGAGGTTTAGAAACAAGAACTTCATTAGTAGTAGATCTGGTGTGAGACCCCAAGATGTGTCTGAAGTAGAATTTTACATGTTAGTGTAGCTGTACTAGTGCAAATGTCTAATGTTGAGCTGATTTTACTCTGGTGAAGCTTACCCCATCTGAGTTGTGCTGCATTGGTTTACGTTAATGGCTAAAATCCCAGTGTAAACAAAAGCTTGCCTGAGAATTTTTTGACCCCTTTTAGCTTCCTAGAGCCATCACTAATTTAGAAAAATATAGATTAATTATCTTTTTAAGAAATGAATTACTGATTCCTAAATTCAATCTAATATCTGGGTTTTTTTCTCCTTACCGGACCTTTTTTTAGGTAAGAATTCTTTATGCCTGTGGCTTTAGTGTTCTACTGACAAGTTTTACGCACACTGCTGTTGACAACATTCTGCTAAAGTTGGCCAGGTTCAAAATAGGATTTTTGCGGTTGGGGCGAGCTCAGAAGGTTCATCCAGATATACGGAAGTTCACGGAAGAAGAAATTTGCAGATCCAAATCGATTAAATCTGTGACTCATTTGGAGGAGCTCTATAACAATCAAGTAAGACAAATAATTTTTAGTAGACTTGTAGCATATTGAGGACAGTATAAATGTGCACAACATTTATAATATACTCTGAAACAAGTTTTGTCTCAAAGGTCTAGTGCTGTGGTCCCCAACCCGGTGCCCGTGGGCGCCATGGCGCCCGCCGGGCTCTTTACATGCGCCCGCGGAGCCGTGGTCCCCAACCCGGGTGCGCCGCGCGTGCCCTGGCCCTGGCGCCGGCCCCGGCCTTGGCCCAGCCCGCTTGCAGACTATTGCTGGACAGTGACAAGAGATGCTCCATTTAGCCCTTGCCGGCTCCGGCCTTGGAAGCACCGAGTAGACACTGAATAGGACTAAACTATGTACATAATAGTTTTTTGCCTTTTGTTTCATAATACATTTTATTTATATAACCCTTTTGCTGATTTTTAAAGTGTTACATAAACAGGACAGGTGAAATATTATCATGTAAAGCAACCATAAACACATGAAAAGACCTAGGTTTACAATTTATGATAAAACTCTACTATCTACACAATATACATAGACGTGAAATGTAAAAACTTAAATATCTTGGAAACAGTAGCCAATCAGTTGTTTTAATTGTCATATTTGAATTCAGCACATCAAAATACATAATAAATAGCACATTTTATCTCTGAAGCAGACAACTTCTAAAAAATTGTAGACCAGTGTAGTTAGTCATAGTTTACTTCTATTTGATATTCTATTTGTATAATAGTGCCTGAAGGTTTTTTACTGAGGCTCCATTGTGCTTAGATTATTACAATAAATACATATTCATTCTCCACTAAGATTGTGTCTGCCCCAAAGAAATGAAAGAAATGTTTACATCATAAAAAACGTTGTTACCTATATGGTAGGCTTCATGAGAAGCATAGGACTGATTTGGTATGGGAAATATTAGATTTTCACAAATGAACACTTCAGTCAAGATGCATTTGAGGCATGTGGGTTGGAACGAGGAAAACTGCACTGCCAACACTGTATTTGTTCTCTGGATTAATGACAAGGACACTGTGATGCACTTTGCTATGACCTGCCCTTTGTTTGAAGAACTTTTATTTGTGGCTGCCATGAGTCAGCACCCCACCCAGCAGAAGTGCTCCCTTCTAGGCCACATAGGTTCCACTGTCATTGTGCAGGCTAGCAGTAACACACTCCAGCCCTCAAGCCCTGATCCACTAAACTATAGTTCAATCAAGAGGCAGGCCTTTGCCCAACAGGCTCAGCGAGGGGCTCCTCCAACTGGGGGTCAATGGGCGGCCACTACACAACTGTTCAGTCACACACAGGGAATTTGCGACAGCACTGGTGCAGTGGCTCAGACTCTTAGTCAGCCAAGCACATAGTCAATTAGCCCTGGCCCTTATCCAGGACCGGCAACAATAGTCCAGGGGCTCAGGCTGGTCGTTGGACTGATCGTTTTTAAATAAACAATCACTAAGCCCAAGCCCTAGCTCTGTGTGTGGCAAAAAATAGTTTATAAGGGCTCATGCCTAGGTTCAGGTGTAGCCTTTAAACTAATAGTCAGTAAGCCCAGGCTTTGGCTTATTTCGGGGCAACAAATGGTAGCACACAGTTCCAGTGTGGAGGCCTATGCTCAGGCCGAGCAACAATCAGTAAGAGCCCAGGCCCTGGTTCAGGGAGGGGCACCAAATGGTAGGGTGTCCCACCATCAGTGGAGAGGCAACAATTGCAGATAATTTACCAAGAGAAGTGGTGTCGGGGAGACTGCCATCCGTGGATTGGGTGACGGGGGATGCAGGCCCACCCATTCCACTGTGTCCCAGCCCAGGACCCTAATAATGATGGATTGGCCTGCCACTGGGTCAGCGTGGATCCTGGGCGCAACATGTTGACTCTTAGAAGTTCTGATTTGGCCAGACTAAGATCGGCTTTCCCTGGGCTACTTCCAACCTCCCCTTCCCTGCATACCTGATTTAATAACCAGTTTTCAGGCTATTAAGGGGCTGGAACTTCTATCAGGATAGGTAATTTCTTGGGGTCAAAGTCTGTCTGTGGTCCTGGCCAATCGTCAGCTCCTTTAGGTCCACAGCAGCTTCTTAGCTTGGGAGTGCAGAGCGGGTATCTGGGTTCGTAGGTCTGCTTTTTATACTCCTGGCTCCTTCTCCTGACTTTGAGCAAGATTGTAGAGTGGGGCAGACCTCTGCCCACCAGGACTCAGTGAGGTGCTCCCCCTCTCCAGTTCAGTGAGCAGCCACTCCACCTCACTAGATAGACACAGTATATTCCAAAGGAATGTCCCAATTTACCAGTTCCACCTCAGATAACCACTGTGCTTAACTACAGCACTTACATTTGATTTTATTGGAAATAAATCAGGTTTTTTTTTTGACAAAACATAGTGATTCAGGTAACAGGAAGTAGAAATTTGGGAAAACAATGTTACATAACTCCCCCTTCCCCCCGCCCCACACATTCTGAGCCTAGATTTGGTAATTGCTCACCCAAAATCCCTCAGCATTGTCTATTCAGCTGTCAGTGATTCTTGTTTCATGAGACAATCATACTGTCAGCTTGCCTCCTACGGAAAGATTGTGTCTTGGTTTGCACTCCAAGATCTACAGGGTCAGTCCTTTGTCTTAATTCACCCCCTTGCTGTTTTTGTTTCTTTCCGTAGATTTCCTTTTGTAAAATTCTCAATACCTCAATGTGCACATGTCTTAGTATACAAATAGACACAAAGTGGTCACACATGGGAGAGATGTCCATTATCTCCTGACTGAAGGGAACATCTGAGATGGTCACTGCCTGGTGACCTGCCTTAGCCTTATGACTTGAAAAACATTATTTTCAGAATAGAAACCAGCACTCTGAGAGCTTTCATTCCACTCTTTGAAACTATTATTCAGATGTCTGACCCTGTGCTTCCTGCCAGTTGACACCAAGTGATCTCAGTGTCACAGGTACCAGTCTCCTGGCCAGTCAATCCAGTGCCATTCACAAGCTCCATATTAATTGATTAAATTTAAAAATAGCATCCTAAACACCTGGCAGGAAAGAAGTATGAACTGGGTGCTAGTCCCTGCATTCCAGAACTGCTTTTGTTTTGTTTGTAAATCAATATATTGTAAAGCTTTTGGTGTATATGGGGTGTCAGGGTTATGTAAAACTCAGGCTCCCAGTATAGGGATCAAGTATCAGAGGGGTAGCCGTGTTAGTCTGGATCTGCAAAAGCGACAAGGAGTCCTGTAGCACCTTATAGACTAACAGATATATTGGAGCATAAGCTTTCATGGGCAAAGACCCACTTTGTCAGATGCAGTAAAGGGATGTTAAATTTAGTTTATTCAACTAATTGACTAGTGGATGGATCTTCTATTGATTAATTGATAAGCAAGGAGCCGCAGCAGGGTTAGTGTCTGGCCTGTCGGCTCTTAATACATTTAAAAAGCAGAGGCGCATCTGGGACTAAGTGCGAGCCGGGAATCCAGTATTTCCAGGCTCACGCCCAGCTCCCACTACCCCCTGCCTCCACGGAGACAGTGCTGGGGGGAACCAACTTTTAAGTCAGTTCCCCCCAGCACCGGATCCTGCTGTATCCTCCCCCCCCCTTTCTGCCTCTGAGAGGGGAAGCAACTAGTCGAAGGACTATTCGACTATCCGATGAGCAAAAGCTTTTGCTTATTGGATAGTTGACTAGTTGCTTACATCCCTATCCCAGTATTGTTGTTGGGTTTTATAAAATAAATCTGTAGGTTTATTTGATTAAAAGTTATTCATGTAGAAATTGTATTTAAAATATAAAATGGGAAAAGGGAAGAAAATGCCTTTCTATCTGTAAGATATGTCTGAATTTTCAGCCAATAGTTGCAACAACATGTATGGGAGTAAACCATCCAGTTTTTGCTCGGAAACGGTTTGACTTCTGCATAGTGGATGAGGCTTCTCAAATAAGCCAGCCAATCTGCCTGGGTCCACTCTTCTATTCAGATAAGTTTGTGCTGGTGGGGGACCATCAACAGTTACCTCCACTTGTACACAATACAGAAGCCAGGTAAGATAAAATGCTGTTGGAAAAACATAAAGCACGTATGGGATGGGCAACAAGTGGTCTTTTCCAGGCACTGACTTATACATCTGATTTTTCTAACAGAGATCTTGGCATGAGCGAAAGTTTGTTTAAGAGGCTGGAAAAAAACAAGAATGCTGTTGTGCAGTTAACTGTGCAGTACAGAATGAATAGGTATTTAAAACTAGTTGTTACTGGTGATTTTTTTAATGTAAATTTTGATCTGTAAGACTCAACATTGCTTTTGTTTTTCAACTCCATAGTAAAATTATGTCACTAAGTAACAAGCTGATATATGAAGGCAAACTGGAATGTGGCTCAGAGAAAGTGTCCAAAGCCACTGTTAACCTGCCAAACTTAAAAAACCTGGAGCTGGAATTATTTGCAGATTCTTCAGAAACATGGTTGAAAGAAACACTTGAGCCCAACAATCCTGTGTGTTTTCTTAACACAGAGAAGGTAAACTTTGATTGCATTCTTTAAAATACTGCATTTTTGTTTTCATGTTTGAAGACCACATCTGCAATGTAGTTAAATAGTTTCAAGGTAATTCTTATGTGTTTTCCTTGTCCAACTTATAGAATTTCCTATTCTGGATTTCTTTCAGTTTGTAGCCCTAATAAAAGTTGGTATGCAACTGGAAAGAAGTGTTCCAAACTTGAAATGCTGTATTAACTGAAAATATTCAGCCAAGAGACATTCTCATTTCTGTATGCTTATGCTGTACAGCTACTGCTATAAATACCACACTTCATGGTAAGCAGTCAATTCAGAAGTCTGAGCATTGGCTATTGTCTTAATGTTTTTGGAATCTAGCATCTTTAACATAGAAAATCCTAGATGTGTTACATTTCTTGAAATGAACTAACTTCATTATTATGAGGTCAAAGAGTCTTGGATAGCAGCTTAGAGAAGTCTCGCACGTGATCTCACAGACATTTGACCTTCCATCAGTGGATTTGCTTAACCTGGATCAAAAAGTTTGACACAGTATTTCGCCAGAGAACAGCTGGCAGAGATCACTAGGCACAGATATTTTTTCATGTAGGTGGCTGAAGTGCTTTTTTATGCATTCCCACAACTTTTGCTTGCAGTGAATGACTGAAAAGATGGAATGAGAGGAAGCAATATTGATAGTGCTAACTCCATATTTGCTATGCAAATAATAGTTTTCAGACTTGGAGGGTTGGCATTGGAACCCACCTTCACTGTATCATCTACCAGCAATTCCACAAATCATTCACCAAGATCTTTGTCTCTTCAGACCCAAGATGTCTATATCTGACAGCACAATTATTGAGAGGAAAGCTTTAAGTGCATCCTGTCTCTCCTCCAAGGTGAATCAGGACTATACTGGTTTCCACATGGACTTCAACAGTAAAGGGCTGCTTCTCCATCTGGGCATGATTTAGCTTATGGTGCCCAACTGACAAAAATCCCAAGGACCCTGGAATTTCCCCTATTCTAGATTTCTTTCAGAACAGTATGGACAAGGGACAGTTGTTTAACGTTGCAGAACATTAGGTATCAGACTTAAGCAGTGTCTTATACATGGCATCCTTAACCTCCTCAGCTGAAATTTTCCAGGCCACATGATTTCTCAAAGCAGTCAAACTGGCTAAACCTGCAGACAGAGCAATCTGCAGGTTTTAGCACTGGTGGGATTTACTGCTGGTGCTAAAAACCCTAATCATTTGTTCATCTAAGCCAGTGTTTCCCCATTTTATTTGGCCATGGAACCCTAGGTAAAAATTTGTTGAGCAAAAAAAAAAAAAGCTGCCGGACCTGAGAACCGTGACACACACACGCCTCCCTCCCCCCATAAGTAAGGATAAGAATAATGAACAAATGCTAAATAAGGTCATGCAATAAACATTTAGTGTAATTGCACATATTTAAAAACAAATCACATTTAATGTGTACAAAAAAATAAAGCTCAAAAACTAACATTGCACAGCTTGATAAAGCTGAATATTCTTTACATAAGCCGCCTCAAAACGTAATCAGAGAAACTTCTTTAAATTTTTGTATAAATTGGCCATCTGAAGTGATTTTGATTAGGTTTTCATAATCTTGCATAGAAAAACTGACTGACTTTCCCATTATACTTAATGGATTTCAAATCCAGTTATTGTCATTTATGGTTGGAAAATACTTCATGATGTTTGTGTATAAATCAAAGATGATCTGCAGTGTCCTGGCCAGGAAGAAGAGTGCAGGAGAAAGCCTGGGGAAGAGTTGTCTGGCCAGGAGGGAGGGTACAAGAAGGGTGCCTGGCCAGGAGGGGAGGGTACAAGATGGAATTTGGGGCAGGGTGCCTGGCCAGGGGGGAGGGTACAAGAGGGGACTTGAGGCAGGGTGTCAGAGCAAGCTGGGAATGCGGGCTCTTGGTGGGGGGTGAGGGGGATATGGGTGCAGGGTCTGGGCATGAGGGGGAATGCTTACCTGGCTTTGCACCCTGCTGCAGCCCCCCCCCCCCCCCGCCCCCTCA